GCAGCAGGTAGTGGCTGTTGGGGGACGGCGGCAGGCTGATGTGCTGGGGGCTCTTTGCAGCGCCCAGGGGAGAGTGCTGCGGGGAGCACTGCGGGCTCAGGAATGTCGAGGAGGTGATGGTGCTCTGCCCTGCGGGCTCCAGGCAGTGGCTGTTCACGATGTGGGGCACCTGCGGCACTCCACAGTTACTCAGCTTATCCGAGCTGCCCGCCTGGCCTTTCAGGGCCATTTGTTTGGATGCAAATGGACAGCTGGACACTGTGTTTTCCTGCTTGATGGGGACACCAAAGAAATGCTGAGCAGGCTGCTGCTTCTCCTCAAGGCCGTTGCTTCTCTTCCTCTTCTGGAGCTGCATCCTCAGCTCTTCCACCTGCCTCTGCTCCTGCTGCAGCTTCCACGTCAGTTCATTGATCACCTTCTGCTTCTCCACCAGCATCTTGTCTTTCTCCGTGTCTATCCCTTCCAGTTCCAGCTGGATGCTCCCTCCATTCATGCTGCTCATGAGGCTTTCCTCAGCGCTGCCCTGCACTGGTGATGGCTGCAGGCCAAACTGTGGGGAAGCCATGGGCCCATCGTTGAAGGTGTCGGGCAGGGAGCCGCTCACAGAGAGGTCAGAGGAGGCAGGAGAGATGGGTGGGGTGGAGCTGGTGCTGCCAAAGTGGTAGAAACCATTGGACAACATGCTGGTGGAGGACTGGGACTGGTAGCTGGACAGGGTGTTGGTTGGGGTGACGGGGAAGGTGACGGTGGTGATCTCACTGAAGCTGGGCACCGTGCTGCTGCTGCACTCCTGGAAGGGCCGCAGCCGCTCCATCAGCGCCGTCTTGGTGCCCGACACGGGCAGGCCCCGGATCCGGAGCTGCTGCCTCAGCTCCGACACCTGCAAGGGAAATCACTCCTGGTCAGACTCTGTAGGGATGTGCCCCTTGTCGATAGAGTGACCAAATTATCCTTAGGCTCCTTAAAAAGCCAAAGGAAATTATCCTTTGGCTCCTTAAAAAGTCTTGGTGCCCAACACGGACAGGCCTTGGATCCGGAGCTGCTGCCTCAGCTCCGACACCTGGAAGGGAAATTGCTCGTGGTCAGACTCTGTAGGGATGTGCCCCTTTATTGACAGAGTGACCAAATGATCCTTTGGCTCCTTAAAAAGGATAAAAAAGCCCAAAAGTTTCTCTCCTCAATTTGGTAAAAAGGCACCTCATAGGAGCTTTGGGACTTCACCTCAAACCTACGGTGGCTACCCAGCTGGACAGAGGCCAAGAGGTCTGACCTAAGCAGTTCACTAGAAAAAGAAGAGAACAAAGGAAATAATTGCTTTTCTGGAGTGTTTTAGAACCTCTTACCCCTGGCTTGTTTTTTCTATGCAAGAACTTTGTTATTTTGCCTTTTATTAAAACTTTTTCTATTTCCAATACTACCTCAGAAGCCATCCTGCTAATTGTATGACATTTGGGGTAGCTGAGCTATCTCAGGTCTGATGAGTTCCTCTGAGAGCTCATGAGACCTGGCTCAAAGAAAAAACCCATCAAGGCTCAGTGGCAGATTAGCCCTTTAGAAACCCAGTGCTTCTAACAAGGAGTCTCAGATCACAGCTTCCAGCTTTAACCTCTGACCTCCCAGGTGCTCCCTGCCTCGCCTGCACTCACCACAGTCACCATGCACAGGCCTGACCACTGCCCATCCTGCAGAATCTCAACCTTTCCTAACAGGAAATCTTTCCTCTGAGAACTGTGACTCCTCCACGAACCAGCAATGGTCCTTGGGTAAGGGAAGCAACTCAGGATTCCCTTCCTAGCAGTGGATTTCTCCATGAGCAGAGGGCTGTAGCCCAGACCAGAAGCCATCTGATGGCTCACAGACTGTGACACCTTGGAGCCACATGCTCTGTGCTCAGACACATGATTCAGTCACCTGAGCTAGGGCAAACTCATCTGTTTCTACCTCAGGGCTGTCCACAGGTCTCTGCTCCTAGAAGGATTTGGCCTTCCCCATGACTGAGGGTCCATTAGCAAAGAATACAAGAACAGCTGATATGAGGGATTCTCCCCATGCCCTTTCTTGCCTCCATGAGAAAGGCTCCAAACAGTGCATGGAGCAGGAGGTAGCTACTCATGCAGAGAGCTGAGCTGGCCTGGCTGAGGAGCTGAGCCACCGAGTGGGGAATGTTGCTCTACTGGCCCCTGGCTGGTCGGTCAGAGCATCCACAATGCTAAAACCACATAGGGATGGAGGCAGGAGCTGCAGGAACAGCAGCTCAGATCATCCTTCAGCCTGACCTGCAGCCTCCCCAGGCTGCACCTTTGGTTTGCTGCTGCACAGGCTGGAGCAGCGCACCCCTCACCACCTGCAGAGCAACCAGCCCTGGTGTTCAGAGCCTCCCCAGTGACCAAGCCCTGCCCAGGGTGCTGTGCTGCTCTCCTGGGTGGCTCAGAGCAGGGGTTTCAGGCTGTCTCATCTCTAACACGGCCCCTCCCAGCCTGGGGCACTCCCTGGCACACTCAGAGGCAGCACAGCACCCTCAGGCTGTGACATTCTGCTCCTGCAGTTACAAAGTTGGCACTCACTTTGAGATCATCCAGGTTGGAGGGCAGAGGGCCTGGCTTGATAGATGAGACACAAGTCTGGCCTGAAAAGGTGGTTTTCACTGGAGAAAGAGGGGTGTTGTTGCCAGAAGTTGATGAAGGATTTGAGCTTTTGACCATTTGCTCATTTGATTGCCTGAAATAACAAAAGAGATTTGAGGTAACTTGTCTGTTCCCCCAAGGTCTTTGTGCCCAGCATCCCATCCCTCTGCTACCGTATGTGACACTTCAGGATGGCCAAGGAAAACCAGGCTGGGCTGCAGAGGATGGCTAGTGTCCCACCACAGGTGCCTCAACCAGAATGCAAAGCCAGAGTGGCTTGGAAGGAGTCTGTGGTGCTCCCAAGGTTTTCTGTTTTGGAGTTGTGCCTCTATCCCCTTACTCTGGCACAAATGGATACAGAAGGGAAAGCATGGAGAGAAACAGGACCAAGTCCTGCTGCTGGCACAGTGCCACTCACTTTAGCTGCCCTTGGTGCATCCCAGGATAGCTGAAGTGCTGCTGCTGCTGCTGCTGCTGCTGCTGCTGCTGGCTGAGGATCTGGAGCTGCAGGAAGAGCTGCTGCTGCTGGAGCAGTCTGGCATATGCAGAATCCATGGGTGGAGGGGACTTCTCTGCTTTCTGGTCTGGAGGGATGTACTGGTGGTACTTGAGCTTCTTCACTTTGGGCTTAGTGTCCTTGGGCTTTTTGTGACGATTCTTGCTGTCACTGGATGATTTGGACTGTTGGAAAGAAGGAAAGGAATTAGGGGTGAGAAGAGCTCCTGCCATCCCCATGGGACCCCAGAGGCCTGGGACAGAACAAAGGCAGCTCCTGCTGGCACTGTGACACTCCAGCTCTGAGCTGCTGATCCTGGCTGTGGGGCACTCCCTTGGCACTGTGTCCCATCCCAGCTGGGCTGGAGAGCACATGAGATGGGAGAATGACCCTCCCTGCTGGAAGGTGCTCCAGTGTGGCCTGGCACCTCCTCCTGCTCCAGCCCCAGGGGATGTTTTCAGTGCAGGACTCAAGCAGCTGCCTCTAGCAAGGTGTAATGTTGTATCTTGTACCATTACATTATTCATTAAATTAGTTTTTGACACAAGGTTGTCTGCCTGAATTATTCAAAGCCTTTAAGGCCAGAACCAGAGTTTTCACACATTTGTGGCACAGCACATGGGCACTCCAGGCTTGTTTGCCCCGGGCTGGTTCCCCTCCTGGGCAGTTGGAGGCACCGGCATTACCTTCACGGCAGAGGGCAGCGGCAGCGTCGGGCTCTCCTGCCCCGCGGGCTGCTTGGGGCTGTCGCACTGGCTGCCCTGCCCCGGGGCAGCGTCCGCAGCGTGCCCATCGGCACTGGGGGGACGATCCTGCAAGGGAGAGGGGACAGTGGCTGTGGGGCCGGACCCAGGGCTGTCCAGCCTGGATTAGGGCTCCTGGTGCCCCGTTTCCTCACCCCATGTTGTTCCCAATCCGCACAGATGCCTCAGTGCATCCTAGTCCCATCATGTCTATCCCAGTCCTTTCCCAGTTCTCCGCCTCCTCCTTGGTTTTCCAGCCCTCCCAATTTCACCCGAGCCCTGTATCCTTGCTCACAGCTGGCCCCTCAGTATCCTCCAGACCAGCCCATTCTTTCCAGCTGACCCAAGGATGGCCAAAATCTTTTTGGTCCTCCCCCACCCTAGTCTGCCCCAGTTCCTCCCTTTACTCCCCGTCCATCCCAGTCCCTCCAGTCTGCCTCAATCCACTCCAGCTCCCCCATTCCCCCTGTTTCCCCAGCCTCCACATTCCCCCAGTTTCCCCCAGTCCCCCAGT